CTGGAAATACAGAGCTGGTTCAACATTAGAAAATTAATCAATGTAATTCACTATATGAACAGACTTAAAAAGAAAACCAGGGGCCAGCCCCGTGGCCAAGTGATTAAGTTCATGGGCTCCACTTTGGCAGCCCAGGGTTCGGATCCTGGTTGTAGACATGGCACTGCTCATCAGGCCATGTTGAGGCGGCATCCCATGTGCCACAACTAGAAGGACCACAATTAAAATATACAACTATATACTGGGGGGATTTGGGGAGAGAAAGCAGGGGGAAAAAGAAGATTAGCAATAGTTGTTAGCTCAGGTGCCAATCTTAAAAAAAAAAAAAAGGAAAACCATGGGATTTTCTCAATAGATGCAGAGAAATCATTTGATAAAATTCAACATCCATTGGGGACATCCCAGTAGCACAGTGGTTAAATTCTCTTGTTCCATTTCGGTGGCCCAGGGTTCATTGTTTTGGATCCTGGGCATGGACCTACACACTGCTCATCAAGCCATGCTGTAGTGGCATCCCACATACAAAATAGAGGAAGATTGGCACAGATGTTAGCTCAGGGACAATCTTCCTCAAGCAAAAAAGGGGAAGATTGGCAACAGATGTTAGCTCAGGGCCACATTTCCTCACCAAAAATAAAAAAATCAACATCCATTAATAACAAAAATTCTCAGACAGCTAGGAATAAAAGGGAACACCTCAGTCTGACATAGCACATCTATGAAAAGAGTTCAGCTAAATCAGACTTAAAGACTGAATGTTTCCCCCCAAGATCATGAAAAAGTCAAGGGTACTCACACTCACCACCCCTATTTAAGACCATACTGGAAGTTGTAGTCAGTGCAATAAGGAGACAAAAATAAATAAAAGCTGTAAGAATTGGAAAGGAACAAAGCCAAACTTACTACTTGCACACAACAGAGAAAATCCCAAAGATCCTACAAAAACTCTAGTAGAGTATCACAGATCCAGGCCAACATAAAAAATCAATTTCATTTTGATATATTTACAATAACCAATTGGAAATTGAATTTTTATTGTAAAATTCTTTATAAAGTATATTTATAATAGCACCAAAAAGCATGGAATTATTAGGTATAAATCTAATAAAAGATAATCAACACCTATATGTTGAAAATTTAAGATCTGATGAAGGAAATGAAAGGAGACCTAAATAAGTAGAGATATTTACCATGTTCGTGTATTGGAAGACTCAAGACTGTTGAAGTACTCACACTGCCTAATTTCAAGACTTTCTATAAAGCAACAGTAATCAAGAACGTGTGGTATTAACTACATCAATGGAATAAAATAGAGAGGTCATAATTTTACCCACACAAATATGGTCAACTAATTTTTTGCCAAAGGGGCAAAGGGAATTCAAATAAGAAAAGATAGTCTTTTCAACAAATGGTGCTGGAAAAATTGGACATCAATATACAAAAAATAATGATCCTGACCTTTATCATGCACTATGCATAAAAATTAACTTAAAATGGATTATAGAATTAAACGTAAAACCATAAACTATAAAACTCCTAGAAGAAAACTTTAAAAAAGTATTTGTGACCTTGTGTTAGGCAGTGATTTGTTAGATACAAAACCAAAAGCACAAGCCATTAAAAAAGGAAATTGATAAATTGAAATTTATCAAAATATAAACATCTGCTCTTCCAAATACACTGGTAAGAAAATGAAGATACAACCAAGGACTTGGATAAAATGTTTTTGAAAGACATGATAGGTAAAGAACCTGTATCTAGAATATGTAATGAACTCTCAGAACTCAGTAATAAGAAAAACTTTTTAAAAGATTTGAACAAATAAGAAATAGGTAGAAATAAGGTGTTGACTACAAGCACAAGTGAATTTTGAGAGCTGTTAGAACTATTTCTGATCTTGTGTTGGTGGTATACGTATTTGTCAAAACTCATAAAATGATACACTAAAAAGGGTGACTCTCTCTTCTTACCATATATAAATTATACCTCCATAAAAGTAACCAAACACACACACATACACATGCAGGAATGAACTAAAAGGCCTCTGAGATTATTTCAAGCCTAGGAGATCAATAGTAATAAATGTGGTCTAGAAGACAGAACCTACACTAAAGAACAAATCTGTATTCAAAGTGACAAGCACTGAACCAGTCTGATGATGACGATGATGACGACAACAAAGTTAAATTTTATAGCCCTACATTTTCCCCCCACTAAAAAAATGTGCTCATAAGAATATTTTTATTCTCCTAAAACTCCCAGGTCATCCCTCATCACCCAGAATGTCATTTCCATATGGCTTTGTTTGTCCCCTAATTTGACTCACACTCATCTTCCTTCTTCTTCTCCATTCTCTGGCACTCCCAATCTGTCATCAGCAAAATCCCCATGTATCCTCAGCCTCCTATGTGAATGTTCCCTTCACCTTCTTGCTGCATCTGAAATTTGGATTCCCTTGAGAACACTACTTCTCTTATAGCCTTTCCATAAGGTTGCTGTTTATCTATCAAATCCCCGCACTACTAGACTAGGAAGTAGGGTAGCTGTCCTCCTTGCTATTTAATGCTGCTTCCAGATCTTTGTTCTTCCCGTCTCAAAAAAGACTTTCAGAAATTTAAAAGTCATGCCTGGGAGTACAGCACTCAGTGTCTCTCCTTGTTGCAGCCATCTACAGAGATCCATCTGACTTCCCCTCATTTCTTGAAAAGTTTAGCTCACGGCTCATTGTCTCTCCATCACCGGTCTTTTAACAGTTCTTGTGATCTTCGTATCCCTGTCGAAAATCTTTCTGTTATCTCTGCCTTCCAGTTCCTTGACCACCTCACCTCCAATGATCTTGTTCTCTCTGCCACTCACTTCTCAGTCATACCTCCCACAACCCTTTCTCTTCTCATCATCAGCTGATAACCTTGTTTCCTATATCACTAAAATTAGAAGCAATAATAAGAGAACTTCCTCATTCTCCATCCACTGGTCTACCCAACGAACTGTATCTTTGCCTGTGTACTCTGCCTTGGCTACTGTTCTTCCAGATAAACCACACATACTTCTATCTAAGCCCAACCCCTCCGGTTATAAACTAGTTCGTAGCATGGCTCATGCACTGAAGGATGTCGCTCTTGCAACTAGCTGCTATCACTATTGGAATTAATCAACATTCTGTGAACCATCTGAACATAATCAACTTTCAATTTCCTCTGCGTAGATTACACAACTTTATGCATTCCTTCTCTTCATTCAGACTATCTCCTGCCCCATAGTCTCCACTTCCTTCTGGCCTGCCAGTTGAAGCAATTTTAGTGTTTTTCCTTGATGAGGGGTAAATTGTACCTGTAGATATCTAACTTTCTGGCTGCAGGCTGCACCTAGGTACCTGCCCCCAAAGGCTATATAAAGTAGCAGAGCAGAAACAGGTTCTGCGCTGGGATAATTTAACCCCATTTATGAAGCGGGCACTTACTGATTCTGTGATCTCAGAGACTCTGTGCCCTACCACCTCCGTGGATCCCAGGAACTTCCACGCTCACTCTGCTTTAGCCAAGAGCCCTGACATGACGCATTGCTGGTTTTCAACCTTGGCTGACTCCTGGCCAGGTTAGAGCTGACTCTGGAGCAGCTAAGTAGACCAAGTTCATTTTTAAAAATAAATCAAGAAGCATTATGGCAAAAGAAGAGAGATAAAAATTAGAAAACACTTTAAAAATAAAATGAGCCATTTGGTGATCTCTTCCCCTTCCAAGAACCTGTCTATCTAGCCCTCTGTTTCTCTCAGCTTTATGTAAACTAATGCAGCCTTGGCAGAAAGAAAAGGCCATGCCCAAGAGCACCTTGCAGCATTCTGCCCAACTTTCTTTCAGGTACTACGGGCCCTAGATAAACAACTCCCAATGCAGACCAGGACAACAATGCCACACAAACTACCTGTCCTCTCACCAAGAATACAGGCCTACTCTTCCTGATACACAAAGGATGGGCTCTGCCCTGTGACAGATGGTTCTAATAGAGAGAATAAAGATGGCCCATTTACTGTCAATCAAACCACACAAGCAGGCAGGGAAGTCTAGGCCCCAGTTCTGAGATACAATTGGTTCTTAAGCTGCCTGTGTCACAATGGCCTTTCATTTTTCCTCACAAATAGTATTTTCTAAACTTACCTCCATTTCTTTATTTTCTTTTTACTGCTGCCATTTCCCTTAGTTTCCTCATGTAGAAAATGAGAACTCCATAAAAAATTTAGTTTGCCAACTATTTTAAATATAGGAGATGCTTTTATTCTTATGTCAGTAATCTGAGATTCAGGAAATATAAGTAGCCAAAGCTCACACAAGTGAGAGCTAGTGCTTAAATACGAACTCAGGGGGCCGGCCCAGTGGCATAGTGGATAAGTGTGCACGTTCCGCTTCGGCAGCCTGCAGTTTGCCAGTTCAGATCCCAGGTGCAGACATGGCACCATTTGGTAAGCCATGCTGTGGTAGGCGTCCCACATATAAAGTAGAGGAAGATGGACATGGATGTCGGCTCAGGGCCAGTCTTCCTCAGCAAAAAGAGGAGGATTGGTGGCAGATGTTAGCTCAGGGCTAATCTTCCTCAAAAAAAAAAAAAAAAAAACACAAATAATAATAATCATAATTTTTTAAAAAGATTAAAAAAATACAAACTTGGAACTCTTAGTTAAAAATCCTGCTACTTTCTATTAGACCATGCTGTTGTTAGTATAAGTGAATGAAGGAAGGAATCAAAGTATATTATAGTGTGTGAAGCCAAGGGTACTAAGAGATAGTATAGAATTGTGTTTGGCACATAGGAGATGCTTATGCTATTTAAAAAAGAAAATCAAAAGACTCAATAGATACTTATTAATTGATTTCCAGACCCAATGGGCTTCATCAAACATATTGCCACAGCCCATAAATTCTTCCTTCACATCCCTGCCAAGCACAGCCTGGTGCCACATGGTAACTTTGCTGACACAGTCTAGTTGCTCTTAACCAGGGTCTGGTCTCCTTGGGATTCAGCACCCCAAGGTCAGCCTGACCCTAGAGGAAAAATGAGCAAGGGACAAGCACTTCTAAGGACACAGGAGACAGGTGAGTGTGGCTTTGACATTTACAGGAGTTGGAAAAATCTCTATTTAGAAAACTTCTATAGAGATATAAAAAGCTATCTATAAAGATAGCTAAAATCTAAAATTCCCACAAAAAAATTGAGATTAATATAATGTCCTCATAACTTAAAGGAGTCTCTTGAATTCAGAAAAGAAGAAAACTCTGCTCTTAGATTTATTTTTTTAATTGAAAAGCACCAGATATTTGTTTTTCTTGTGGAAAGCCAGGCAATACATTGTCTTCATTGGGTAACTTCCTTGAAGCTTTCCTTTAGTGGAATGAGTCAGTGGTTAGTTTGCTCTTTCTTCAGATCTCAAATATTTTAGTTAAAAATAAAAAGTATTTTTAGCATTGCTGATTCATAGTTACCAAAATAATACGATTGCAGATCACGGGTAGTGCATTCGTCCTGGCTCTTATGCTTTGGTTCCAATGGCTAGACTGGGGCAGTCTCTGAGGTGTTCAAGTTCAGATTCAATCCCATGCAATGAGGCTGCTCCTCACACTGAACCAGGAGCTACCTCTGTAAGGCCAACTCCACTCCTTTCTCTTGCTTCCTTGCAACAGCCAGAGCCATTCAAATTTACCTCAATCTCAAATTTAAACATATTGGGTCAGAAGCCCTAAGGAAGGGCATGGATTTCAAAGAGGAGCCCCCAAAACACAAGGCTTCTTGCCCTGAATCCAGTGATATCTGTGAAAGATAAAGACATCACCATTGCCTATATATTTCAATTTACTTTCCAAATGCAGCAAACAGGGATGTTGTTTATCTGGTTCAAATTCAGAGCCAAGTTATGTGTCAAGAGGGAGTCTTAATTTCTCATAACAGAACACGTTTGGCCCTAATGTGTGACTTATGAGTCAGTATATCAAATTTGACTAATGTGTTTACTCTAAGTGGGGAGCAAGCCATTAGCATTACAAATCCTGAACTTTTGAGAGAGGAGGGACACAACTTTAATTTCTCTGCTTTTTCATTAATTAAGATGAATCGAAGTTGATGAATAAACTTTCTGAATTGCTTAATACCTCCCAGATATCAGTATCAAGGCCTTGGCAAGGTAGGTGAAAAAATTTCCATGAGCAAGAAGCAATTGAGAAGGACTTCTTCTGCAGAATGAATTCTTAGTAATGCCTGTGGGAAATTTTCCTTTATCCTAACATCTTTCCTCTTCCTTGCCTTGCCCTATTCTTAATGTTTTTAAATACACCAAATAATGGCTTTCTACAAATAGCCAGTAAATGGAGTCGGAGAAAAAGCTACAGTGTAGCCCCTCTATTGCAGCCATGTAAATAAAAAACAAGCTATATTGCATAATCCAGAGAGACATCACATCTTCCTTCCTCCCGGCACAACTTGTACGGTCATTAAGTGTGATTAAAGTCTCAGGGACCTGGCCACAGTCATATCTATTTTGGTCCCATTGGCTCGATCCCTCCCTGCAGCTAGCAGGGAATCACCCTCTTTGTGTAAATGTTTGCTTGTTGGAGATTCTTAAGCAGAAGTTAATAGTACACATGCTTCAAGAGGAGTATTAAATCAGCCACGATAAACAATTCTTGGGCAATGTTTAGACTGGCCAAAGTCATCCTAAGAATTGTGTAAAGGATAGAACAACACATGTGGCATCTATGTACTAGGACTGTCTATAAAACAGAAAAGCAAAGTAGAGATCTGTCAATAAACCAACTGATATAATTAATGTGTTCTATCAGTGTAGGCGGATAACAAATTAATGACTAGGCAAGTACCAAATCTCTACTTCCTTCTATGCGGTGTAGATACAGTTAATGAATCATGAATGTTTAGTACTCTTTACCAGCACTTACAGAACACACTTGGAACTCCTCTGGAAATTCACTTTGATCTCTTGTTTGAAGTCATGTGCCAACACTCTGGACCCTGGTGACATCAACTTTCACAACCTCCAGGCTATTTCAGAGCAAAACTAATCAGGTAAAATCGGCACCAAAAGAAGTTTCAAAACGACACAGTCATGCGTTCAGGGAAACTTTGTCTAGGCATCCAGGATCTCGATAAAATCACAAATGTTTTTTAAAAAATACATATGTACACACACACACACACACACTATAGAGAGAAAAAGATAAAGAAGCAAAGAGACCTTTAGTTTTCCTTAGTCCAAATCAGGATTAAGGCATTATTTAGGGTATTCTCCGTAAGAACTGGGGATTATATTTCTCTATACAAATCAGCAAAATGGAGCAAAGTTACGTGAGGTTCGCTTGAGGCTGTGTCGCTTTCCCCATAGTGCTGATCCAGAAACTTGAAGGATATACAGTAACAAAGAGGCCAATTCTATGGGACAAATCCTGATTTGGGGTCAAAAAGAAAAATGCACATTTTTTTTTTAGCAGAGGTAGAGAGGAGGGGCTTTATTCCACTTTTGTTGTCTGATTCACAAGTGTTGTTAAATATTTACCAGAAATCTGACAGCAGTTTCTTTTTTTTTAAGGTATACTTTTTGGTGAGGAAGATTGGCCCTGAACTAACATCTGTTGCCAATCTTCCTCTTTTTTCTTTTTTTTTCCTCCCCAAAGCCGCAGCACATAGTTGTATATCCTAGTGTAAGTCATTCCAATTCGTCTACGTGGGATACCTCCATAGCATGGCTTGATGAGCAGTGTGTACGTCCGTGCCCAGGATCCAAACAGCGAACCCTGAGCCACTGAAGCAGAGAGTGTAAACTTAACCGCTCAGGCACAGCGCCAGTGTCTCACAGCAGTTTCTTAACATTTCTTAATCACTGTTAATTATGTTTGTTAATCATAATGTCATTCCATTAACAACTCTATACATTTCTTCAAAGTTGTACAAGGTAAGTCTTACTACTGTAACACTGTTAACCCATCCTTGTAGAATAAATATTTGCTTTCAGTTTCTCTGTGCCAAGTTTTATGCAATCATGTAATCTAAATCTCCTTTTGTAAGTAAGGTATGTCTTCAAGAGGATGAGAGGGCAGAATCTAAAGCCTTGTCTGCCTTTTCTCTATAGGTCCTTGAAGAAAGGGTTCTATGTCTCTAGAAAAATATACTTAGGGCACTTCTGACAAGTATCCCAGGAGTGTCTTTGAGAAATATTTCAAAGACCATTCAAGTCTCCACTGCGCAGATTTTCTCACATCCTCAAGGCTGATGTGAGCTGTGTTGTATATCTACCAGGGCACCAAATGGCTGAAGGTCATATTTTCCATTCTCCTAATTATTGTTACTTCTTTGTAACTATTTTCATAGAAGTGCAGCCTAATTTCTTTCCCAGAACCTGTGTCTTGTGGGTGCTGACTTTCATGATTAATCTTAACCCTGAATCAGCTCGGATAGACTCTGATGACAGGTCGTCCTATGACGGTCATTAACTGCTGCTTGCACAAACACATCACTGAATGTGACTTCGGGTGGGTTTTCCTCATATGCAGAGGAGAGAGCTGCCTGCATGGAGTGACTTCTCTGTTCTCCAACCAACCATACACAAAAATAACCTTTCCCCACTCACTGATAATAAATTTCTATAAAGAAGATAAGCCATCTAACCAATAACTCTCATAGTAAAGTATATAACAAGCATTATAACTGTCTATTATTATTATCATTATTATTCTTAGAAGTCTACTTCTATAGAATATCCTAGGAAATGAAAAAAAAAGACAAACTCTCACTTATGTGTAAATGGCTGGCATCAGGTTCTTCCTGTGAATGTATTTTGATAGACGGAAGGGGGAGGAAAAGAGAAGATAAATTATATTTACTGAGGAGGTACCATGTCCCAGACTTTGTACTAGGTGCTTTATATAAATTATGTAATTTTAATTCCTGCAAACATGGTAAGCTGTAGATAACATTATCTTTATTTTAGAGATGAATGAATGAAAATCTTGGAGGAGTTAAGCAATTTGTCTGAAGTCCCATGCCTGGTCAATAGTAAGTTTGGGATTCAAATAAGTCATTTTAGCAAAACAACATTGCTCTAGGCAGAGGAGGGGAGTGTGGTGTACAATTTTTCTGAAGTACATACACACATACAAAATTTCAAGGAGTTGTGAGAACCAGGGTGATGAAGCAGAGAACATGGAAAACAATCTGTCTACCTAAGCTTTGGGTAAACCTGGGATAACATAATATTTGGACTCTGTCCTAGGTCAGAATATATCTAAGAGAATTTGCCTCTGTCCTTTTCCCCCATTTTATCTAAAAGGACGAAAGAATAATTAGGAGTGTGCATGCATGACAAAACTAGGCTCTTAATTCCTTTCAAAAGAATGAGTTACACTAGACTTTCTTGCGTATCTTTATCTGGGAAGTGTTAAAATAAATATTCCAGAGAGACAGATTCAGAATTAGAAAAGCCATAAGTGACTCAACAGCCATTTCCAGCATTTAAATCAAGACTAATCACATAGTTCCCAGTGTTAGCCCAAGTCCCTTCCACCTATTTCTCTTCTCTGCCAATAACCAGTTTTTAATCTATTTCAGGAAGGAGTCCAGGGCACTGTGGAAAAGAAAGTTATCCTTAAAATACTTCCTGAAGCATTACCAGAAATCATGTTTTGAATTTCTAAATGACTTGCATTGTTCTAAATTTTTAGGCTGCGCCCATGACCACAAAGATAAATGGGCATTGGGACAACCATGTGAAGGACCAAGTTGCAACATGAAGTAAGTGTACTGTTCAGCATGAGTCATTTTAAAACAGAAAAAAGAACAAAGGCTAGAAAAGATGATGCCACATGACAATATTTCAAATAAGACACAAGGAACTTGTCTATATTTGCTTTCAGGTCACGAAATACCACATGAACTGAATCTTCAAGAACCCACTGGATATGGATCACCCTGATTCAACAACACAGTTAATCATATCCTCAGGTCTACAGCAAAAGTAGTGGTTCTTAACCTGGGCTGCACAAAAGAATCACCGGAGGAAGTTTTTGGGTTTTGTTTTTGTGCTTTATAATACCACTGTCTGGGCCCCAACATCACAGATTTGGATTAATTAGTATAAGGTGGGGCCAGGCATTCAGATTTTATAAAGCTCCCTAGGTGATTCAATGTGAGCCAGAGTGGAGCACCACTATATTAGCTGTATACAATGGATTCAGGAATTTTACCCCCCAACCCTTTAGGGCCACCAGAACTGCCATCATGTCTTTATATCCTATGAAAACTTGTGCAAGTTACTGATCCCTGAGAGTTAGTTTCCACATCTCTAAAATGGAGATCAGAACACCTTTGAAGCATGTGCTTTAGCACAGGGCCCAGATCACCATATTTTCTAAATAAACGTCTATGAATCTAGACACTTTATTTTTCTTCAATCATTTTTTTATTCATATGTCTCTAGAATGAATATTGAGTGTAAGGTTTATGTGAAAATATATTTTAAATGTAACAGCATTATTTCTTTTGCCTGTGTAACTTAACTACAGCTTCAGAATGCCCAAACGATTGGCTTGAAAGTAGGGAAATAGTATCGCCTCATATTTGTTCTCTCTATATATCCCCAACTTGGAAAAACAGTGCTTTTGGTGTGATATTCGTTAATTTTATTTATTTTGTTTAAAACTCACCTGTACTTATAGCTTCATACTTTGGATATCAGAACTCCCAAGCTGGTAATCTTGGTAACAAAAAAACCACCCAATTTACTGTTGAGACTTTGAATACTTTTTATCCTGAGTTTCTGAGAAATTCATGTCATTTTGCTGTGAGCTTGAAGGAAGAATTTAATTTGCATCTTTTTAATCTCCATTGTACTAGCACAGTTTCTGAAACAAAGTGGATATTTATTATATATTTATTAGATTTATTTTCAAAGATTTACTTCAACATCCTCATGATTAAATGATGTAACACAGACATGTGACCCAAACTTTAGAATCTACTCACTGTCAAAGACTCTAGAATCAAAAAAGTGAGAGTGCCCATTTGCCTATGCAACTACCATACAGCTTATATTTGGGAGTATCTTTTGCTTTCAGGAAAGTTTTATGATAATTCATATTTACACATTTTGAGGGGTAGGTTCTATTTGATTCCTATTCTGGGTCTGTAATTAAATCTTTGACAAATTAGTTGAATTTTCTCCCAGGAAAGTAAAAGAGACAGAGAGTCAATAAATAAAGATACTTCACAGAGGCATTTTGGCATTTGTAGAGTTACGAATTTTAGAGTACAAGGTAATTCTCTTTTAGTGAATACATGGACTGCTTTATTATATAGAGGAGGACTACTTACATCATAGTAATGAAGGATAAAATACAGCCATATGCGACAGACACTGTTAGTTTCTACTCAGTATTCACCCCTATGCTTTATCCTTAGGGTAGCAATGTGCCCAGACTCAGGTGATGGGTTATGATTAGACTGAGCCAATCTTAACAGTTTCAGTAAGGGTCTTTGATTTCCCAGCTCCCCTTGCAGCAAGGTAGAGTCATGTGATCTGGTCCTGGCCATGAAATGTACAGGGAAGTGTCTGCTGGGAGCTTCTGGCATTTCTGTGTACCTCTTAGAAGAGAAAAGACGTAAGAGGCACAGCCGCTTCTTTCAGCCTCTGATTGGAATAAAGCATCCTGTAGGTGACTGAAGCTTCTTGAGCCATCTTGTGACCATAAGACAGCAATCTTAAGGACAGAAGACAACAAAATAAGGACAATGGAGCTAAAGAGAAAAGGCTCCTAGATCTTTGATGGAATCATCAAGGAGCTGAATCAATGTCAGCAAACACCTATTGCAGACTTTTTATTATATGAAAAAAATTAACTACTTAGAAGAAAACCATAACTTCCATGTATGAAAGATTATGAAGCATAATATCTTCTCCCTATAAAATTCATAAGATGGTAACATTTCATCTGTGAATGAAAAATAGTCTTTCATAACTAATCAGTCAGTAGGAAAGACATTTTAAACCCAATTTCACTGTTGCCCTCATTTTCCTTCCAAATTCCTGACATTAAAAACAAACTACTTCTCGTGCCAGCCCAGTGGCACAGTGGTTAAGTGCACATGTTACGCTTCAGCGGCCCAGGGTTTGCAGGTTCGAATCTCGGGTGCGGACATGGCACTGCTTGGCAAGCCATGCTGTGGCAGGCATCCCACATATAAAGTAGAGGAAGATGGGCACGAATATTAGCTCAGGGCCAGTCTTCCTCAGCAAAAAGAGGAGGATTGGCAGCAGATGTTAGCTCAGGGCTAATCTTCCTCAAAAATAAAAACAAAAACCTACTTCTGGGCCAGCCCCCATGGCCTAGTGATTAAGTTGGGCTTTCTCTGCTTTGGCAGCCCAGGCTCCATTCCTGGGCATGGAGCTATACCATTCGTCTGTCAGTGGCCATGCTGTGGCAGCAGCTCACATGAAAAATAGAGGAAGATTGGCGATGGATGTTAGCTCAGGGCTAATCTTCCTCAGCAAAAAAGAAAGAAGGAAAGAAAAAAAACCTATTTCTACTACCTCAAACCACTACAATCCTTATTGCCATAAACAGCTTGTCTTTCTCTCTCTCTCAAATATATATGTGTGTATGTCTATACATATATATAAACACACACGCACACATAATGCGTACCCAACTTCTCTGAATAATTCCCTCCCCTTCAAAACATAGTTTTGAACATTTGGCAAAGTGATTATTACGAGCAATGAGTTTCTTGACTGCAGGAGATGCTTCTAACATACTTTAATTCCTATGACTAGCCCACTGCCATTGCATTTTTTTAAATAACAGTAAGCTGACCACTTATACCAATTGTGTCCAAATTAAGGACTATGAGTAACCTTGGTTTCAAATTAACCAAGACAGGAATATCCACAGAAATACGAGAGCAGAGAATGAACATCTCTTGAACAGAGCTTTTCACCCATGTGACTCATCAGAGACCAGGATTTGGAGAACAGATTTGCTTTTAAAACCCAAGGCTATTCTGATCCTGACTCCTTGTACAGGCTTGGAAAATTACCTAAGTTCTTAATGCCCTTGATACTAAATTTGCGTAATAGTAATTTCTTTCTTTTTACCTCATAGGATGTTGAGCAAATTAACAATACATTTTAAAGTACTGCACACATCAATGTATTCAAATATTTGTTTCCATTTCAAACACTCCAGAAATACTCAGTTACCAGTTTATATATAACAGGTAATCCTCTTGCTACATAACCTGACAATATCAGCCACAGAACTAGTTTATTTGGGGGCACATAACAGATCTGTGATCCTTATACTCTGCTTGACCTGAGGACAGGGTTATTAATCTAAATGGCTTTTTTTTTTTAATATATCAACAGTTATTCAACCATGTGACAATCTGTGATACAGATAGAGCCAAACAGTAAAAGTATAAATTTCCTTAAGTTCTAGATATATAAGCTACAGTTTCAAAACATGTCTATAATATTATAGAACTATTCAAAAGAAAGTACAGAGTCTCAATTTAATCTGCCCACTCTGTTCATAAACCTTAAAATATCACAAGACCACAACATATAACAATTTATCTGTTTACCAAAATATATATATATTGTTTTGCATAAAATATTGTATAGAACATATCAGTGTTCTAAAAAGTAGACAAATGCAACCATTCTTAAACATAAGCTTATAAAAATCACTAGAATCACATGAATTTTTGTTGGTCCTCAGAAAGATAAAAGTGAGATTCACTTAGGGGCTGGCCCAGTGGCCCAGCAGTTAAGTTCCTACATTCTGCTTCTGCAGCCAAGGATTCACCAGATTGGATCCCAGGTGCAGACCTATGCACTGCTTGTCAAGCCATGCTGTGACAGGCATCCCACATATAAAGTAGAGAAAGATGGGCATGGATGTTAGCTCAGGGCCAGTCTTCCTCAGCAAAAAGAAGAGGATTGGCAGCAGATGTTAGCTCAGGGCTAATCTGCCTCAAAAAAAAAAAAAAGTAAGATTCACTTAAAAGTAAGTTTTTCCTATTAATAAGTTAATAGGAAAGGGGCTGGCCCCGTGGCCGAGTGGTTAAGTTCACGCATTCCGCTGCAGGTGGCCCAGTGTTTTGTTAGTTCGAATCCTGGGAATGGACATGGCACTGCTCATCAAACCACGCTGAGGCAGCATCTCACATGCCACAACTAGAAGGACCCACAACAAAGAATACACAACTATGTACCGGGGGGCTTTGAGGAGAAAAAAGGAAAAAATAAAATCTTTAAAAAAATAAATAAATAAATAAAAATAAAATGCAGTTATGTTTTAAAATAAATAAATAAATAAGTTAATAGGAAAAACAGAAAAACCAAAGAGATCATGTATAAAACCAACTGTCTAGTATGTCCTGTGTTGAGAAAGGTAAATATATATTACCTATTTTCTAAGAGTGTAGAAATAATCCATGTTACCCAACCTACATTACTATTAAATGGCATTAAAAAGGCCAAAAAAAAAGGTAGTTTTTAAATTGAAATTTTTTCCCACATATTAGCCTTCTTATAAAAGGCCAGAGATAATGGATTGTCATACATTATCATTTAACTTCCCTATGCAGAGAAGTAGGGAAGTGAAAGGAGATGAAGAAAGGTGAAATAAATTAAAAGACTGATGAAGATAAAAATTTGGTGAAATCTTAAAAACTACAAATCCAATAATTTCATTGGTTAAAGGCTAAAGAAAAATGAAGAAAACTACCAAATCACACCAAATTAAATTGTTTAAAAATCAATAATGTTTTTAAAATAACCAGAGGGAAAAAAGACACATTATATATCAAAGAACAAAGATAAGAATGACATGAAATTTTGGTCAGAAACATTGCAAGCCAAAAGACAAGGGAAAGAATAAAAATAAATAGAACCTAGAATTCAACACCCAGCAAAAATATCTTCAAAAAATGAAGGCGAAATAAAGGCTTTTGCAGATATACAGAAACAGAGATAACTCACTGCCAGCAGACAGGCACTTCAAAAAAAAAAAAAGGTAAAAAGAATCTTTGAGGAAAAAGTAAACTGATTCCAGAGGGAATTTTTGATATATACATAACAATAAAGAACACTGGAAATAATACAGAGAAACAGAGGAAAGGAGGGAAGAAGAGAGGAAAGAAGAGAGAAAAAAAACCAACTTACCAAATCAGAAGTAAGTGGAGACATCACTACGTAACTTATAGACATTAAAGGGATAATAAGGGAAAATGATGAACTTTATGTCAATAATTTTGCCAACTGTGATGAAGGGGTTAAATTCCTTGAAAGACATTATTTACCAAAGTTCACTAAAGAGAAAAAGATAACCTGAATAGTCTTATATTCATTAAA